GAACCTTGAAGATAGGTATAACGCTGTTTTTGTTTTTAAGATTTTTTTGTCACAGGGTGTGTGCACTTGCCAGAGAGAGAGAGAGACAGAAGGACAGTGAAAAATCACCCCCGGGGGAATAGCCATGCTGAAATCCCCCATTCTCCAGTCTCCTCTTGGGATTTTGGACACACATGTACACGCTCTTGGCATGATTTTCAAGCTGCCAGGTTTGGTACTCAAACTACAGTCAGTCATGTGGGAGTCCAGAGCCTTAACCACTACATAATGGTTGTTTTTTTATTTTATTTGTTTGTTTTTTTAAGAGCAGTTTCTTTCTTTAGTGCATAGTGTGCATGCACTCGCTGGAGAGACAGAGATACAGAAAGTGAGAAATCGCCTCCCAGGGAGGATAGCCATGCCGCAATCCCTTCTCCTCCATCATTCTTCTTTCAGGATTTTGGGTACACACACATACACATCTCGCATGAGTTTTAAGCCACTAGCTCCAGGACACGAACTGCGGTCAACTATAAGAGTCCAGCGACATAACCATTATGCTATCTGCTGGTTCTGTAATGGACTTTTCTGTTTTCGATCATTTTACAAATCTGTCTTTTTTGTCTTTTTTTTTTTTTTTGGAGAGATTTTTGCTATATGGTGCGTGTACTTGCCAGACAGACAGAGAAAGACAGAGAGACAGAAAGCAAGAAATCACACCCCCAGAGGGGATGGCCACGCCGCAATCCCTTCTCCTCCATTCTCCTCTCGGGATCTTGGGCACGCACGCACACGTGCCCGGTGTGAGTTTAGGCCACCGGGTCCAGGACTTGAACCACAGTCGACTACATGGGAGACCAGCGACATAGCCATTACGCTAACTGCTGGTCCCCAAATCTGTCTTTTAACTGTAACATTTAATTAAAATATAATGTAGTTACTGGTAAGGTTTATGTCTGCCATTTTGCTATTTATTTTCTATATATCTTATGGCTTTTTTGTTTCTCCCTTCCTCCACTACTGCCTTGTTTTGTGTTAGATATTTTTTATTGTATCATTTTAATTCACTTGTCCTTCCTTTTTTTATTTTATTTTTTCTAGTTTTTGCTATAGGACATGTGCACTCACCAGAGACACACAGAAAGATAGGAGAAAGTGAGAAATCCACCCCTATGGAGAATGGCCACACCTCAATCCCTTCTCCTCCATTCTCCTCTCAGGATTTTGGCACATGTGCACATGTGTCCAGTGTGATTTTCTTTCTTTTTTTTTTTTTTGATATGTTTTGGCTAGGGCGCGTGCGCTCACCAGACAGACAGGGAGAGACATAGAGACAGAAAGCGAGAAATCACCCACCAGGGGGGATGGTCACGCCGCAATCCCTTCTCCTCCATTCTCCTCTCAGGATCTTGGGCACGCACGCACACACGCCCGGCGTTGAGTTTTAAGCCACCGGGTCCGGGACGTGAACCACGGTCGACTACGTGGGAGTCCAGTCACATAGCAATTACGCTAACTGCTGGTTCCCTCCAGTGTGATTTTCAAGCTGCCAGGTCTGAGATTCAAATCACACAGCTGGCCATGCAGGATCCAGTGGCTTAACCTCCAGACCACCTGCTGGCCTTGTCTTTTCTTTCATTATAATTCTTTCTAGTTTTTTAAAAATAGTGGTTCTCCTAAGGATTAAGTAAATGCTTTAGGCCCTATAGTACTGTGGTGAGGCACTGCACAGAGGAAGCCAGATCCCACATGGTTGAATAGGGTTCAAATCCCAGTTCCATTAGCTTGCAAACCATCTTGAGCATCTGCAAGCACAGGTGCTCAAGATCCTGATGGGATGGAGAACTGGAGAAAAAACTAGTGTAACCACTTTCATGCATGCATTCATATACTTTGACATAAAAATATCTATGATATAAATAAATACTTTGGTTTATAATAGTCTATTGTTTTATCAGAAAAATCATGATACATGTAAAAATATGTCATGACTTTTCCAATGACCCAATAGTTTAGATTAATAGTAACTTACTCTCAATAATTACAAATATCTTGTTCCTATAGAGTTCTGTTCTTTTACCACCATATAAATTACTTCTTTCTACACTGGATGCATACACAGATTTATAATTAATTTTTAATTGTTTTTTACGTTTGCTATTTATGTTTTGCTTTTGTTTGTGTGTGTGTGTGTATGTGTGTGTTTCTAGTTGTTTTTTTTTTAAAAAAGGAGAAAAAAAGAATAAGGGAAAATACAATTATCTTTTAGAAAGAGATTTCAAAAACCAGGACCAGCAGTTAGCGTAATGGCTATGTCACTGGACTCCCACACAGTCGACTGCGGTTCGCGTCCCAGACCTGGGGGCTTAAAACTCACACCGGGCGTGTGTGTGCGCGTGCCCAAGATCCCGAGAGGAGAATGGAGGAGAAGGGAATTGCGGTGTGGCCACCCCCCCTGGGGGGTGATTTCTCGCTTTCTGTCTCTCTGTCTGTCTCTGTCTGTCTGGCGAGCGCACGTGCCTGCTATAGGACAAGCCTCTCAAAAAATATATATATATATATTTTTTCTGATTTGATTTTCCTTCTTTTAAGAATTATTAATTTAACTTTATTTCTTCTTATTATTTAATTTGCTATAGGACACATGAACACACCAGACAGAGACAGAAAGAGGGGAGTAGAGAGAGCCACCAGGTCTGAGATTCAAACTGCGATCGGCCATATGGCAGTCCAGTGCCCCAACCACCCTGCCATCTGCTAGCCCCTTTGACTCTGACTTTTTTTTTTTTTTTTTTGGAGAGGTTTTTGCTATAGGGCACGTGCGCTCGCCAGACAGACAGAGACAGACAGAGAGACAGAAAGCGAGAAATCACCCCCCAGGGGGGATGGTCACGCCGCAATCCCTTTTCCTCCATTCTCCTCTTGGGATCTTGGGCACGCATGCACACACGCCCAGCGTGAGTTTTAAGTCACCAGGTCCGGGACGCGAACCGCGGTAGACTACATGGGAGTCCAGCAACATAGCCATTACGCTAACTGCTGGTTCCCTGACTCTGATTTTTGACAGTTTGATCATGATGTATCTAGCTGTGGATATCTCTTAGTTTATCTTATTTAGAGGATCACTAAGCTTTCTAAATGGTTTGAGAAATTTCTGGCTATTTCTTCACATATTTTTCCCCTTTCTCTGTTTTTTTTCCTTCTGAGACTCAAATTATACTTATGTTGATATATACTTGATGGCAGCCTGCATTTCTCATTGGATCTACTTTTTTTTTTTGGAGAGGATTTTTGCTATAGGGCATGGGCGCTCGCCAGACAGAGAGAGACAGACAGAGAGACAGAAAGCGAGAAATCACCCCCCAGGGGGGATGGTCACGCAGCTATCCCTTCTCCTCCATTCTCCTCGCGGGATCTTGGGCACGCACGTACACGCACCCGGCCACCGGGTCCAAGACGCGAACCACGGTGGACTACGTGCGAATCCAGCGATATAGCCATTACGCTAACGGCTGGTTCCCGGATCTACTTCTTTTTCTCCATTCTTTTTTTCTGTGTGTGTAGGTTTTTTTTTTTTTTTTTTTTTTTTTTCTGATTATCCTCAGACTAAATGATCTCAACGGACTAATCTTTAAGTTTCATTGAGTTATTTCTTCTGCAACGGCAAATCTTCTATTGAGCCCCTCTAATGAATTTTTCATTTCAGTTGTTGTGCTTTCAAATTCCAAAATTTCTTTTTTATATATAATTTTTAAAAATAATTTTTAAAAATATAACCTGATTTATCTATTCATTTTAATTTGATCAGAGAGAGACAGAATGAAAGAGAGAGGGAAGTAAGAAAGCAAGCCACCAGGTCCAGGACTTGAATCATGGTTTGCCCTGTGGGAGTCCAATACCCTTAACTACCTCGCCACCTGCTGGCCCCCCAATTCCAACATTTCTAATTTGTTACTTTTTGTAATTTGGTTTTTGTTGATGCCCTTTATTTCATGAGACAACAATCCTATATTTCTTTCAACATATTTTAAAAATTCTTTGAACATATTTACAATAGCTGTAAATTTACAAAGGTTTTTGTCTAGTAAGTCCAACTTCTGGGCTCCCTTGGGGAAGTTCATGGAAAATGAGTACTATGAAAAAATACTTGGATTCCAAAATGAATATTACAGAAAAATACATGGAGTTCACACACACACAAAAAGTACCGAAATAAACTTGTACTTTAATTCCATTTTTAACCAACATTTTGAAGCTTCCTCATATTAATACAAATTTTCCTGTGTTTCCTGTATCTCCTTTATATGCCTTGTCATTTCTGTTGAAAACTGTACATTTTAAATATGTGGCAACTCTGGAAATTATTTAGGTAAAGACCACTCAGCAGGTGTGCAACAGAGTCAGGACCCCAAAGAGGTCAGTGATATTTTCAAGTTACTCTAATTCGCTCAGTGAATAATAAAGCTTTAAATGCACAGGAATTCAGTAAACACCAGACTGCGTTGGAGCTGCCACAGGGCAGCTTGAGGATCTGAGCAATTGATGGGTGGGGAGATCTCTAACTTTGCTTTTCTCCATCCTATTTCCATAAACTTGTCCCCGCTCCTTTTCTCTTTCTCTCTTCCATCCATTCGTCTGAGGGCAAACCGTCTAACTTCACTAGGCCCACTAGTGGAGGTGTTTTTAACTTAGAGGAGCCCATTTCCAAAGGGCAACCAAACTGCTCACTCAGCAGCCTCGCCCCTCGCCCCTCGCCCCCTGCTCGGTGCCTGGGGCCCAGAAACAACCGCTGTGCGGGGACGCGTCAGGGTGGCTCACCCGTGCTTCCCTTCAGCTGTCCATAGCGCCGTCCAAAGCGCACCGGCATCTCTGACTGGGCGCCTACGGGACTCCCGACAACGAAGGAGGCTCCGGTGCCCCACACTGCGAACTCCCGGGTGCCAGTGTTTTCCAAACCGCGCGGTTGCTTAGCAACGCCGCCGGAAATGACGCCGCAGTCGCCGAGGAACGAGGAACGCGCTGCTCTCCGCAGAGGGCCTGGAAAACCGAGGCTGAGGCCGCGCCTGCGCGGGGAGCGGAGGCCGGGCGTGTGAGTGGGCGGCCGTCGCGGGCAGGCGCGGGGCGAAGACGGAGGGCCGAACCCACCG